TCTGTTCCTTTTGCAGAACTTTTGCCTCCTCAGATCCTTGTAAGGCTGGCTTCTTACGGTTCAGGGTCTCAGTGGGAATGTTACCTTTTCAGATGAGGCTTTGCTAATCACCCATCTAAACTGGTCCCCTTTCTCTCCTCCGTGTTATGTCACACAATCATGTCCTGTCATCTCTGGAGAACTTGCTAGCGCCTGAAATAGATCCTTTCTCTCTTTTTTTAAATTGAGGTATACTTGGGGCTCCTGGCTGGCTCAGTCAGGAGAGCACGTGACTCTTGATCTCTGGGTTGTGAGTTTGAGCCCCACATTGGGTGTAGCAATTACTTAAATAAATAAACTTAAAAACATAAATTGAGGTATACTTGACATGTAACATCATATTAATGATCTTTCCTTACCTATGTAAGGCCCCTGTGGACAGCTGTTCCCTTAGTGCCTGGAATGGTGCTTGGCTCAGCGTTGGTGGAATAAAACAATGATTCAATTCTCTTTTTAAATTTTATTATTTATTTATTTACTTATTTATTTAGTAAACTCTACCCCCAACATAGGGCTCGAACTCATGACCCCAAGATCAAGAGTCACATGCTCGCACACTGACTGAGCCAGTCAGGTGCCCCACTCTCTCACTCTTTTAAAATTAATTTTTTGGGGCGCTCAGGTCATGATCCTGGAGTCACAAGATCAAGTCCTCCATAGGGCTCCCTGCTCAGCAGGGAGTCTGCTTCTCCCTCTGACCCTCCCCTGTCTCGTGCTCTCTCTCTCATTCTCGCTCAAATAAATAAATAAAATCTAAAAAAAAAATAAATTTTTTTATCGTGGTAAAAAATGCAAATGCAATTTACCATCTAAATCATCTTTAAGTATACAGTTCAAGAGGGTCAATTATGTTTGTGCCATGGTGGAGCAGAATCTCCAGAACTTTTTCATCTTGCAGAACTGAAACTCTGCCCCGCTTCAAGAGGAGCTGCCCTTTCCCCCCACACCCCAGCACCTGGCAACCACCATTCCACTTTTTCTTTCTATAAATTTGACTATATTGTTTTCAAGGTTTTATTTTTAACTATCTCTACATCCAACATGGGGCTCGAACCTACAGCCCCAAGATCAAGAGTCACATGCTCCTCGGACGGAGCCAGCCAGGTGCCCCTCTATGAATTTGACTACTTTAGATACTTCATATAAGCGGAATCATGGGATTATACACTTTTTGTCTGTTTGTGACTCAATTCTCTTTCGACTGTTGTTTCTGCGTGTCTCTGTGTGAGGCGATTTTTACCTAGGTGTGCTGTTGGTGAGTTCAGAGGGACGGATGCTGTGGACAGGCACTCTGCTTGGCCAATGCACATTCTTTCACCGGCAAACTTACACATCCTTTTCATTTGTTAAAGCAACACTGTGCTGTGTCTTAGCATGTTTGTTTAGATCTTCACCTCTGGGCATTTTGGACTGTTATCAATTTTTCAGAACCATAAATAGTGGTACCATGTGCATCTTTGTACATTGCTTTTTATTTGGGTAATTTCCTTCCAGTGAATTTGCCCAAAGCAGAATACAAGGTCAAGTTTTGTAGGTCTTGCTACAGTCAGTGATTCAGACACTGAATCAACTTGTAGTTCCACCAGTTAGGTGTAAATGTTTATTTCCCTCCTCACAGCCCCATCAACTTCGAGTTTTGTCAATTTAATGGAATTTTTGTTAAGTTTCTGGAAGACAGAGTATGATCTCTGATTGTGTAGGGGTATGAGTAATTAAAAAATAAAAGCATACCTGGTTTCCTATCATTTACATGAACAAAATCTGAAGCTTTTAAGTGGACAACTGTTTCAGATGATCATGGTACGACCATCTTGCAATCCTGGGATGCTCTAGTACTGGGTAAGAAGGGTTCAGGCCAAGGAGCTACTAGCCCACTGAACTCTACAAGGGTCAGATCATATAAGAAAATCCCCTCCTTCTCTATCCTTCCTTTACCTGTTAAAACCCCCTGTCCCCTTGTGGTCCCAAGGCTTAGGTCTTTTGTCTTTTTCCTCAGTGAGTCTAGCCAGTGGTTCTCTTATTAGTTTCACATTAGCCTCATCTGGGGAGCTTTAAAAAAATACTCATTCCTAGGCTCCACAGGGATTGAGATTTATTTGCTTTGGAATGCATCCTGGTCATCTGTATTTTTATAAAAATCTTCCCAAGTGACACTAATGTGCAGTGAGGGTTTCCAGCCAATGCTCACAACAGTTACTGCTTAATAAATGCTTGTTGAGTGACTTACTGATTTGAGACAGATTTCTGAAGAGTTGTATTCTTTTTTATTGAGATATAATTCACACAACATAAAATCCATCCTTTTAGAACGAGAAGTTCCGTGGTTTTTAGCATACTCACCAAGTTATGGAACCATCATCACTATTAAATTTCAGGATGTCTTCATCACCCCCAGAAGAAATCCCGCACCCATGAACCATGACTTCTCATTCTGCCCTCACCCCAGTCCCTGACAGCCACTCATCGACTTACTATCTTTATAGATTTGCCTGTTCTGGAATTTCATATAAATGGAATCATGGCCTTGTGCGTCTGGCTTCTTTTACTTAGCATCATGTTTCCAAGGTTCAGCCATGTTGCAGCGAGTATTAGATCTTCATTTATTTTTATGGCTGAATAATAGTCCATTGGATGGATATACTACTTGGTTTATCCATCCATCAGCTGCTGGACATTTGGGTGGTTTCCAGTTGCTGGCTATTAATGCTGTTATGAACATTCATGTGTAAGCTTTTGTATGAACATATGCTTTCAGTTTTCTTGGGTATATATCTAGGAGTAGAATTGCTGGGTCATATGATAACTCTCTGCTTAACCTTTTGAGAAGCTGCCACACTAGTTTTCAGTGTCTGCACCATTTTACAATCCCATGAGTAATGTGTGAAGGTTCCAATTTCTCTACATCCTCACTAACACTTGTTATGATGTTTTTTTGATTATAGCCATCCTAGTGGGTGTGTGAAGTGGTATCTCATGTGGTTTTGATTTTGATTTCCATTTTCCTGATGACTAATAATGTTAAGCATCTTTTCATGTGCTTATTGGCTATTTGTATATCTTCTCTGGAGGAAGATCTATCCAGATTCTTCGCCCATTTTAAAACTGGGTTGTCCTTTGTTGTTGAGTTACGAGTTATTAATATTCCAATATTCTGAATTTTAGGGCCTTATCGGACATGTGATCTGCAAATATTGCCTCTCATTTTGTGGGTTGTCTTCTTGCCTTTTTGATAGTGTCCTTGGAAGCATAAAAATTTTAAATTTTGATACAGTTCAATTAATCTACTCTTCAATTAATCTACTCTTTCCTTTGGTTGTGTGTGTGTTTGGTGTCAGGTCTAAGAGACCATGCCTAATCTAAGGTCACAACGATTTGTACCTGTTCTTTTCCAAAAGTTTTATAGCTTTAGCTCTTATATTTACGTCTTTGATCTATTTGGGGTTAATTTTTATATAAAGTGTGGAAGTCCAACTTTATTCTTTTGTGATTATCCAGTCATTCTAGCATAATTTGTTGAAAAAATTTGCTCTTTCCCCACTGAATTGTCTTGGCACTTTTGTTGAAAATCAACTGGCCGTGGATGTATGGATTTACTTTTGGATTCTTAATTCTATTCATCGATCCATATGTCTATCCTTATGCCAGTACCACATGGTCTTGCTTAATGTAGCTCTGTAGTACGTTTTGAAATTGGAAAATAGAAGTCTTCCAAATTTTTTTTCCCTACAAGATTGCTTTAGAGATTGTCGGTTCTATCCATTTCCATATTAATTCTAGGATCAGCTTGTTAACTTCTGAAAAAGGACAGCTGAAATCTTGATAGGGATTGTGTTGATCTTATACCAATTTGGGGATTATTGCCATCTTAACAAGATAAGTCTTCCAAGAACAAGTCATCCATGAACAAGGATGACTTTCCATTTATTTAGGTCTTTAATTTCTTTCAATGATGTTTTGTAGTGTTCAGTGTACAAGTCTTGCACTTTAAATTTATTCCTAAGTATTTTATTCCTTTTGATGCTATTATAAATGAAATTCTTTTTTCTTTAAAGATTTTATTTATGTATTTGAGAGAGAGAGATGATAAAAAGAGTCATTTAGATAAAAGTCAATGTGACCAGCAAGTCTCTCCCCACCCTGGTCCCCTGGTTTCCTTCCCCTTAGGCAACCACTATGCTCATTTCCTGGGAGGCTGTCTATAGCTGCTTGCCCGCCAGAAGGGCAGAGGTGAATAGTTGCTCTGGAGACGGTATAGCCTGCTAATCCTAAAATATTTTCTATCTGACCCTTTATAGAAAAGGTTTGTTGATTCCCTTTTTAGTCTTTTTTCATTTCAAAGGATGCTGCTATGGTACGCTAGGACATCTTTGTATATGTGTCATTTTACACAGTGAATTTGGATGGAAGGAACGCTCTTAAGTGCAATGGCTAGGTCTTAGGGTCTCCGTCTCGGTCACTCTGGTAGGTATTACCAAGTAGCTCTCCGGAGAAGTTGAAGCAATTTAGACTCCCTCCGACAGTGCATGCTTGGGCCTGCTTCCCACAGCCTCGCATTAACAGTGCGCTAATAATTCGACACTTGCCAATCTGATAAGTGAAACCTGGCCTGACTGTACTTTTAATTTGCATTTTTCTCATTATGGATAAGGGCTAAGCATCTTAAGTCTAAAATTTAAAAAACCCGAAACACCGAACAACTCTTCCCGAGGCCTTCCCGGTCCAATCGACTCAGGACTCGGGGGCCTGGTCAGCGGCTCCCCGCGGGACGCGGGGCGTGGCGGCGGGAGGCGGGAGGTGGGGGCGCGGACCCCTCGCTGCCCCCCTTCCCTGGCTGGCCGCGGAGCCCCGCCTCGGGCCCGCCTCCCGAGGGCCTGGGCGGAGCTCGCAGGCCGGGGGCGGTGCTGTGCTGCCTGATTTATTCCCGTCCAGGAGCCGGAGTGAGAGCCCCGCGGTGTGCACGGCCCGAGCACCCGCTCCCGCGTCCCCACGGCATGCCGGGCCCCCGCCTGCTGGCCGCGCTCTGCGGCGCGCTCCTCTGCGCCTCGGGACTCTTCGCAGCCTCCGGTGAGTCGATCGCGCCGCCTTCTGGCCCTCGCCCCTCCTCTCCGCGCCGCTCGGAAGTTCGCCGCGGCGCCCTCCCTCCACCTCCACTGTTTACAAACTTGGCCCAAAAGCCGGGGCCGTGCGGAGGGGCGACTTCTCCGGCTGCGCCCCGGCCGGACATGGGGATGCGCTCGGCCTCTCCTGCGGTCTCCGCGCTCGGGCGTTCTGGGTGGTGATAGAGGCTTGAGAGTGGGGCGGGGACTCGGGACACCGGGTGACAGCCCCACGGCCCCCAGGGATGGGGCTTACACATAACAAAGGAATCTGCTGTGTCGGGCCTCTCTTTTCCCATCTGTAAAATGAGGCCATTGAACTGTGTCCGACTCTGGCGCGTCTTCCACCTGGAAGTTAAGTTAATAGGACTCTTGTATTGACAAATGTTGTCCAGCCAACGTTCTCTGGCTACTCCCTCGCAAGCTCTGGTCATTGGAGTTTTGCATCCCGGCTTGTAGGTGTCTGGTGGGATGAGTGAGGGCCGGGAATGCGGAGGAAAGCGGAGGAAGGGGATGGGGCTCTGGGTGGGGCCCAGGACGGGGTGGGGGAGGGGGCAAGAGCCTGGGGAGGGACTTGGAGAGGGCCGCCCCTGGGCTGGTGGCTTCCGACTCCCTCCCGCGGCCTTGGCGTGCCGCTGTATCTTCCTCGCTCCTCCTCCCCCGCCGAGGGGGCCTCCCGCGCACAGCTGGGCCTCCGGCGGGCTGGTCCCGGGATGCCCCATTTCTTCACCGTGGGGCCCACACAGCCTGTCGCCTCCAGGGCTTTGAAGAGGTACCCGTGGTCGGCGCGCTTCGGGCACCCCCTCCCTCATTTTCTCAAAGAAAGCAGGGGTGAGGGGGTCAAAGCTGAGCCCTGGCGCTGTCTTCCTGCCACAGTCCGACCCCCAGGCCTGGAGCCAGAACCTCAAGGGCCCTCCAAGCTCGCGCACACTTGGGGACACGCAGCTGGTGGCTGTCCAGCGACCCTGAGACCCAGCTGGGTCTTTGAAGTCCCTTTCCACTCCTCTCTGTCCCCACAACCTGAGCCCTGGCTAAATGTTCCTGGGAAAATCACCCAAAAAGGCAGGACTCTGAAATTGCCAAGGTGGTTTTGTAGAGGGTGATCTGGCTTTTCCTGAAAAGGGAAAAGTACCAGGACTGTTGTGTGCAGGTGAGTCAGCCTAAGACCTGTGCTGGGCGAGGGGGGGTAGAGGCCACCTTTCACTGTCCTGAAAGTGGACCGCTTTGCCCTGGAGCAGAATGGAGAGAGGGTGTGGTTGGTTGGGGAGAAGGGGAGTTGGACTTTGTTGGGACAGGAGCCCAGGACTCTGGCCATTCCCAAGGCTCTGTCTGTGGCAGTGCCCGCAGCCTGCCAGGTCAGGGGAGGGGATTAACCTGCTATTTAAAGCCAGTGACTAATAGCTCTTTGGGAGCCGCCTGCCTTAAGCTCCCAGGCGCGGCCCAGGCGGTGCTCAGAGAACTCCAGTGCTCATTAACGGTGTTCGCTGTTCCCTCTGCTCCCTTCTCCGGAGCTGGCCCGGCTCTCTGGAGCTTTGGGATTTCAGGAGCCGCCCCCCCCTCCCCCAGCCTGGGATGGCATGACTCTATGGGGAGGAAAAGCGATTTCTCATGTCTTACCCCACATGATGGGCTAGGCCCTTCTGGGATGCAAAGGTCAGCTAGGAGATCCCCTACCCGCCTGCTGGCCTGGTGGGGTGCACTAATAGCTCACATCTGCCCCCCAGCCCCCCCCCCAGCCCAAAGCGGTGTGGTCCTCTGCAGCCCTCCTCCTCTGCGGTGGTTCTCAAATCTGCCTTCCTCTTCACCTGAATTCCTCCTCACCAGGAGGCCCGTGCAGCCACTTACCTGAGCCACTCCTGTCAGATTCCTACCCCGGAGCCCTAGGGATCTTTGTGTAGCCCCAGGACACCTCCCTGCCCCAGGGGAGCCCATCCACAGCTCTGCAGAGGGCCTTTTCTCCATATTCTCCTTCCCAGAATGGGAAATGGCTTCCCCACTCCCACCTCACCCTTGAGAATCTCTGATTTTTTTATTCTTTTTTCCCCTGGTGGACAATGGTGGGCAGCTGAAGGAAGGTTAAGGGTCTGCAGGATGGAAAGTCTGAGCTTGTCATTCCTAAGGTCCCTGCGGGTCTGGCCCCTACCTACCCTTTCTGCTCGGTTGTCCTGTTCTCCAGCTTGCCATGGCCCTGTGCTCCTGCCCTTCTTTAGAACGTTCTTTCCTCACTCCCCATTCGGGCACACTCCACTCCATCTCTTAGACCCAGCTCACCTGTCCCCGCTGCAAAACTTCCAACTCTGGCAGAAACCATACTTCCAGTGGCCCTTCATGCAGGCTTCCGTCAGAGCTGATGATGCCTCTTCATCACCCAGTGACTGTCCACCTCTTTCCAGTGGTTTCTTGAGGCCTGGACCACACCTGGTTTCCCTGTCTCAGCGACCCAGCCTGCACATGGTAGCCCCCCCGCCGCCCCCAGTATTTACTGAATGAATGACTTGCTATTCTTGAGTCTGAGCTGGTGACGTTGCAGGTGACTTCTGTGACTCTAGCCAGTGCCTGAATGGTGGGACCTGCTTATTGGGCCAGGACAACACCCCCTTCTACTGCCTCTGCCCTGAAGGCTTCACGGGACTGATCTGCAATGAGACAGAGAAAGGTATCTGCCCTGGGCCCTGCGTCCCTCTCCACACCCAGCTCCCAGCTGCAGCCCTGGCTGCTGGGCCCAGTTCATCCCTGAGTGGGCGGTGGTCCTCGGCACCTCTCCCGTGGTGGTCAGCCAGAATTTCCCTGGAAACTCCCTGTGCACTTGGAAGGCCCAGTGCTTCCCTCACTGGGACTGATTCGCCTGCACCTGACCCTTCTTGGCGCCAGGCTGGCCCAGGCTCCCGTCAGGCAGAGGAGGGAGGGAGGGGATGGCAGGGGGAGGCAGGGAGGGGATGGCAGGGGGAGGGGGGCAGGGGGCTGAGTTTTGCGCAGAGGGTCCTTTTGGGGCATCCGCTGCTGCCTGTCTCTGTCCCCAGCTCCTTCCTGCTACCTTGCCCAGCTTACCTGCCTCTCCATCCCTAGGTCCTTGTTTTCCAAACCCCTGCTACAATGATGCCGAATGCCAGGTGATTGGAGGCTTGTACAGAGGGGATGTTTTCACCCAGTACGTCTGCAAGTGTCCTCACGGTTATACAGGTGTCCACTGTGAGACCAGTGAGTATCTGGGGGTGCCTGCTCTGATGGGGGAGGTCCTGAGCAGCCCAGGCCATGTGCTGGCCTCATTCCCTGCCTCAGGACGTCCTTTGGTAGGTTGAGGGTAGGACAAAGCGTTAGCGGTTCTGTTGTCCTGGACTAGTCCCTGCTTGGCCTTCTGTCCTCAGACTGCTGGCCAGGCCTGATGTCGCTGCAGGGGAGTGAAGGGTGGTGGTGGCCCCAGAGGTCAGAGAGTTCTGCTGCCTGGGTCACCACGAACCAGACACACAGCATTAGGGTTAAGTCCTGAGAGTTTTCTACCAAGAGGGGAAAACAAACACATTCTTAATCTTAGGGCCCAGGAGGTCAGTAAGTAAGGCTGGGGCCTTGGAGTCTGACAGTTCCTGGCCCAAGTTTGACTGCGGCCTCATCACAGAGCTCAGGGAGGAGGGAGAGGCCTGGGCAGGCTGGGCCGTCCCCTCATGGTCAGGCGGTCAGAGGCCCGGCGTGTGCAGAGGGGCTGACCTGCCTGGTCTGCCTGGTTATCCACTCAGCCACAGAATGGCCCTGGGTGGGTGCCCAGCCTCCAGTGCTGGCGGTGGCTGTCCACGCTGTCCTCCCTCCTGGCCCAGCTGGAGGCCCTCCCACCAAGCTGGGATTAGTCCTTGCCTGCTATGGGCGGGCGGCTGAGTCCGCATCTTCAGGGCGTCCAGCTTCTTTGGTCCAGTGGGTCTGCCACTAAGCATCTTGGGCAGGGGCAGACGGTTCCCCTTCAGGCAGATGTGGGGATGCTCTCTGAGGTTTGCGGATCTGCAGAAGGAGGGGGGGGTGCTGGGCCAGCTGGGTGGGCGCTGGGGCCTGGGGGAAAGCACCTCAGAGGAGGGGGCACGGAGGGCCTGTCCCTTGGGCTCGGGGCTGAGGCCAATGTCTTTTGAGATCCTGGGTGGAGGAATGTGTGCATGTGTGTGTGTGTGTGTGTCTGTAGTTGGGGGGGTCACTAAGGCAGACAGCCCTGGGTGGGGCCAGGTGTGCCCACTAATTACTGTGCGGGGAGCCAAGGTAACCATGGGTGTGCCCGAGTTGGAATTACCCGCCTAGCCTTCAGCTTTGCTGCCTGGGGTCTGCCCCAGGTTGGATGAGGCAGGTCCTGAGGCAGAAGGCAGGAGGCAGCCAAAAAGGGGGGAGAGCCCCGAGAGGGACCATTGCAGCCCCTTCTTCTTAGGTGGTGTGTTGCCTTGGAGCCCACAAGGACCCCACAGGCCCAAAGAATGCACAGTGGGGTCCCTTAGAGTGTGAACATGTGAGGTGTGAGGACCTGGTTGCAAATCCTGGCTCAGGCCCTGGCCAGTTCTGATCTTGGCTGCATGGCTACACTTTCCCGGCAAGAGTGGCCTAGCACCGAGCTCAGCATGAACCTGGGCTGTTGTAGCAAGAATAGATCTATCCCTGGCTTCTCTGCATGGGGGATCTCTGGGGGATGAGAGGGGCTCGGCCCCCTAGGACCACATCCCTGGGGTAATGGTGAAGGTGATGGCCCCTTGGCCAGGGGCAACTTGGCAGATGGCTGGTTTAAGACCAATAGTTGGAAGGAGCAAAAAGTAGGAGAGAAAATGGAATGGTATTCACGCCACACCCAGAAAAGTCCTGCCAGTGGGGTTGTAGAAAAGTCTGGGCAGATTTGCTTATTGCCTTTTTTTAAAAAAGATTTTATTTATTTATTTATTTATTTGACAGAGAGAGACCTCAAGTGGGAGGGAGGGGCAGAGGGAGAAGCAGACTCCCTGCTGAGCAGGGAGCCCAATGCAGGGCTCCATCCCAGGACCCTGAGATCATGACCTGAGCTAAAGGCAGATGCTTAACTGACTGAGCCACCCAGGCGCCCCATGATTTGCTTATTGCTTTATGTCCAGTACAAGTACTGGTCACTGCCAGCTGGGGTGCCCCTTCTCCCAAAGCCGTCCTGGGGAAGCCAGGGGTTGGGCTGGATATGGTGGTCCTCCTGGTGGGCTGAGGACACTGAAGAAGAGCAGGTCACACTGGAATTCCCTCCCACCAGTCCGTCCCTGCCCCCCCACGCCCACCCCACTGGTGCTGCTTGACGCCCTGTGAAAACAAGACCATCTACCACAGCCTGACAGGAGATTCTGGCTGCCAGTCCCAGCAGGTGCCATGGGTGCCGGCCTGGCCTGGAACCTTCGGGCAGCCCTGGGTCCCAACCCCCCATGGCTCTCTGCCCCACCCCCCCGCCTCCTCACCATGCACCTTTTCTTGGGCCCTGAGAGTCCTTTCCTGGTCTCTGCTCTGGGTCTCGGCAGAGGCCACACTATGTTATTTTCTGGTCCTCTGGGGTCCGTGTGCTTGGGTGGCCGCCTGACTGCCACCTCCCCCCTCTCCCCCCACCCCTGCAGCCTGCACCATGCCGCTGGGCATGGAGACGGGCGCCATTTCCGACTCACAGATCGCTGCTTCATCTGTGCACTTGGGCTTCATGGGTTTACAGCGCTGGGCCCCAGAGCTGGCCCGTCTGCACCGCACGGGCATTGTCAATGCTTGGACGGCCAGCAACTATGATAAGAACCCCTGGATCCAGGTATGGAAAGAATGGCTCTGGGGTGGGCAGAGTGGTGGGAGGGGACAAGGTGAGGAGAGTATGCCTGCATTTGGGGGGTCATAACCGAGGTCCAGGTAGCAAGGTCGTGGGTTCCCATAGGTGAAGTATCTGTAAGTGGAGGGCAGTCTTGCGGGGGGCGGGCGGGGGGGGGTGTTCCTGGATTGGTGGGGCCGGATGAGGAGGAGCAGACCGCAGGCTGTGGAGGGGCTGTTTGCACTGGATGAAGCCTTTGGGGGCCTCGTCCCTCTTTGTGTGCTTCCCTGAGCACTGGGCCCAAAGCTCTGAGAGGCCCCGATGAGAAAGCCCCCCCCTCCTTTCTAGGTAGGGAGGGTGGAGGGAGTCTAAAGAACCCAGGCGATAAGGGTACTGACCTCCCTCCTGGGGTCCAGGTGAACCTGATGCGGAAGATGCGGGTGACGGGCGTGGTGACACAGGGCGCCAGCCGCGCAGGCAGTGCCGAGTACCTGAAGACCTTCAAGGTGGCCTACAGTGTCAACGGACGCAAGTTCCAGTTTATCCAGAGTGTAGAGGGGACAGGAGACAAGGTGAGGGCTCTAAAGAACGGCTGTGGTCTGCACCCTCTGGGGCTCCAGAGCTATTTGAGGGCTCCCAATGGAGTGAGGGTACGCTGGATGATTAGCCATGTGGTGGGTCATCAGTTGCCTCTTGGTTCCCAGAATTTGGGAAACCCACATCATGCCCATGTTCTGTGGTTACAAGTGATATAGCTCCTACTTTATAGATGAGAATAATGAAACTCAGAAAGGCTCAATGACCTGTTGAGGGTGGCTGTAGTGGTGGAGGTTGGATGCATTCTGAGCATTCAGGGCTACCATGTACGTTGTGCAGGTTGTATACTGCTCAAGGATGTCATTACTAAGTGAGCACCATGCATGATGTGGATGTCACAGGTTTGTGTACTTCTGCCTGTGGGGGAATTAGTATAATAAAGTGTCTTGAGAAAGGAGTGCCTTTTCCTAATTTGCAGAGACACCCTACAGACGATGGGTGGCCCTGTGTGAAAGACAGGGGTTTGTGCCCACGCCCCATGATGACCAAGAAGGGTGTGAAAGGGGAATCTGTGTTGAGGGCTGTGGGTGGCCAGAGGAAGAACTGACCCCCTGCTGGCTCTGCTAAGCCCCAAATCTGCCTCCCCAGCCTGACGAGGGAGGTGAGGCAACCCCAGGAAGCTGGACCGCCTGCACTGACCCATTCCTCCAATCTGCTTTCCTCCTAGATATTTGTGGGTAACATGGACAACAGTGGCCTGAAAGTCAACCTGTTTGACTTCCCTCTGGAGGTGCAGTACGTGAGGTTGGTGCCCATCATCTGCCACCGGGGCTGCACCCTCCGCTTTGAGCTCCTTGGCTGTGAGCTGAATGGTGAGTACAGGGGGGCTGTGGTCAATGCTAAGAAATGGGCTTCTCTGCCTGCTTCCTTCTCAGCCAGGCTGAGCTGGGTAGGACGGCAGCAAGGTGGGGGACCTGGGCTTCCACAGGAGATGCCCACAGGAGGGATCACCTGGCTCTCAGAGCGCTTGCCTCCGTGTTTGTGATGTGCCAACCCTTGGCATTTAGGTTGGTGGGAGAAAAAAAAAGACACCCTTTCAGTTGTCAAAGTATTTTCTGTTATTCTGATTGGTTCCTTGAGCTTCTAGAACATGTAGCATGAGTTCTGTTTTACGGATGTCAGCTCCATGAGGTCAGGGAGTTTGTTTTCTTCACGGCTGTAGTCCCAGTGCCTAGAACAGTGCCTGGATTGTAGATGTTCAGTAAACATTTAATGAACGAGTGAATGAATACAGAAAGGGAGGCCCCGATAAATTATTTATCAAGTGCACACAAGCTGGTAGGTATTAAAACTTGGTCTAAATCCCTGGGCTTTTGACACCCACCCACTTAGTGCTTCTCCCCCCCC